CTATCTATCTATCTATCTATCTATCTATCTATCTATCTATCTATCTATCTATGCATCTCCATTATTTATTTATTTTGGAGACAGGGTCTCCTATTGTCCTGGAATGCACTAATTAAGCTTGGCTGGCTCACCATCAAATCCCAGAGAGCCCCTGGTCTCTGCCCCCATAGCTCTGGAATTATAAGCATATAGATTAAAAAATGTAGATTAAAAAAAATATTTATATATTCTGTTGATAATGGCTTACACAAGAGAGAACTTTCAATCTGAGTAGCAGTAAGAGTCCAAAAAAGAATCCAACAGTCTACTTAATGTTTTACACATACAATTTTCCTCTTAGGGTATTTTCTTCCAAAGATCCTCCTGAAAAGCCCACGGCGGGTGGGGGAGGGGCAGGACACATATCAAAACACAAATGCAAATGATTATAATGAGGCCAAGCCTTTGAGGGATGCAGGCATTTTGTTAGTGTCCACACATGATGATCTTAGTTAACTGCTGCTGTGTCGGCAAGAGCCTAGCTGCAGCTTCATGGGTGTTTAGCCATAAAGGGCCAGGAAACACGGCCACTGAAATATAGCTGCAGTTTCTTGGTCCCCTCGTGTCCAATTCCTTGCCCAGCCAATAATAAAAGTTTAGTGGATTACTGTAAGAATTGACGACAACAGCAACACACAGCAATTTAAAAATAAGTTTAATTCCTCTCTTAGATTAATTTTATATGTCTTTCAAGATTATTGGTTCTATAAAACTTTAAATGTAATACAGAGGAAATTCCCTAGGGAAAGCTAGAAAATGCTGAAAGACTGGCAAAGGGCTCTGGACGTAAAAAGAATTGTTCGCTTGTTGCATTTTTAGAATTGTAAATTGGGGACCTGGAAAGATGGCTCGGTAGTTAAGAGCACTTGGTTTGGTGAGCTGCACCCACACAGAGATGCAAAACCATCTTGAGGACCAGTTCTAGGGGATTCAATGCCCTCTCCGGCCTCCAAAGGCATCAGACATGCAAATGATTTATAGACATACCTTCAAGCCAAACACCCATGCACACAGAGCAAAAAAAAAAAAAAAAAAAAAGTAATACACATTTGTAATTTGTAGTTGGATATAATAACACATACAACCGTAGATCTCTGAAAGCTGAGGCGGGAAGAGCACTAGTTCAAGCTGACCCCGAATTACATGGTGAATTCGCCTGTCAAGAAAACAAAACCCAAAGAAAGAAAATAACAATTTGTTGTTGTTTCTTGGTCCAGGCAAGTATTTACTTTTGCAAGTTTGTTTTATAATCTTGTTTCCTTTAAAAAAAAAAAATCCTCTACCTTCAAATGTATAAACTTCGAAATAGCCACAAACTGGGCCTGGTACAATTAAAAAATGGAATATTACTTGAAGAGTAAATCCTAGGAGAAATAGCAGAGGACATTGCAAC